ACACTTGATGGTGGGACACTTGATGGTGGAGCGCTGCTGGTTGGTGGAACACTTGATGGAGGTACACTTGATGGTGGAACGCTTGATGGAGGTACACTTGATGGAGGTACACTACTAGTTGGTGGAACACTTGATGGAGGTACACTTGATGGAGGTACACTTGATGGAGGTACACTTGATGGAGGTACACTTGATGGTGGGACACTTGATGGTGGAACACTTGAAGTTACTGGAGGTGTGGAAGTAGTGTCACAATCAGTACTTGTGGTTGAACTAGTGGTATCACAATCAGTGCTTGTAGTGGAACTAGTGGTATCACAATCAGTAGTTGGAGTGCTTGGTGGAGTACTGGTGGTGTCACAATCAGTAGTTGGCCAGTGTGGTTTAGTTTTAGTCTTTGAGGGCCATTCTGGTTTACTCTTGGTTTTAGTTGGCCATTTTGGTTTGGTAGTGGTAGTGTCACAATCAGTGGTTGGTGTGGATGGAGTAGTTGGAACTACAGGGGTGGTGGTATCACAGTCAGTGGTTGGAGTAGTAGTTGGAACTTCAGGTGTGGTAGTAGTGTCACAATCAGTGGTTGGAGTAGTAGTTGGAACTTCAGGTGTGGTAGTGGTGTCACAGTCAGTGGTAGGAGTGGCAGGAGTAGTAGGACTGGTAGTTGGAGTACTGGTGGTGTCACAATCAGTAGTAGGCCATTCTGGCTTAGATTTAGTCTTGGTTGGCCATTCTGGTTTGGATTTGGTTTTTAAAGTGGTATCACAATCAGTGGTTGGCCATTGAGGTTTAGTCTTAGTAGGCCATTTTGGTTTAGTAGTGGTAGTGTCACAATCAGTAGTTGGAGTAGTTGGTACAGGAGTAGTGGTAGTGTCACAATCAGTAGTTGGAGTAGTAGTTGGTACTTCTGGAGTAGTAATGGTATCACAATCAGTAGTTGGAGTAGTAGTTGGAACAACAGGAGTGGTAGTGGTATCACAATCAGTAGTTGGAGTAGTGGTTGGAACAACAGGGGTTGTGGTAGTATCACAATCTTCACCTTTACCTGGTTTACCATGATCTTTACCTTGATCTTTTCCTTTATGATCTTTATCAAAATTAGCTAAAGTTGAACATGCTAAACTAGCAATTACCAAAGCAGTAGAATACTTCATAACGAATGTATAGTAATAACCTTTCAGGGATTTTGCAACCTTTTTATAGATTTATTTCCCACCTAATAACCTATCCCAAAGTTAATAACACAATTCCATTTTTAGAATAACTTGAAACTTCAATATGCACTACATATCCTTGGGCTGACGATTGTAAACTTAGTGTTTTTTAAAACCTCGTAAATCCAGGATTTAGGTTAACTAAAAAAATAATTTTTGACGAGATAACTAGGCGAGGATTTAGAATCGCTTAACATACCACAATACCAAGCATAATGATCCAATGGTTGATTCAATTGATATTAACATCAGTATTTCATTGAATAACCTTGGGGCGGTCACCAATTACTGTTTGGTGAATCCTTAGATCCCAAACTATTGATGTGGCAAGGGTAAAAAACCTCTAGGCCGGTAACCCGCAGATATTATATACACTACTGCATAAGCGAAAAACTACTTGGACGTTTCAGAATTGGAAAATCACCACATTTTTGAAACATGATGTTATGAAAACAAATGAATTGGGTGGTCTACTTACGAGAGATTCAACATTTGGCGTTACTATTGCATGAAGATAATAATAAATTGGTACCTCAAAATGAAATAAAATTTAGAGTTGGTGCAAAAGACGGCGATATGAATTATATGACATCAGCAAACAATAAAATGATAATTGGGAGATCAATGAATTGCGTTAGGAAATTTTATCGACCATTACAATCGCTGATCCACTATTATAGCTCGGTACCAACTTTTCCTCTAGATTTTGACGTATAAAGGATTAAAATCAATGACATAATTTTTGGTGCCTCAACTTTATTGTCCAATTAGCTAACTGAAAATAGGTTTAAAAATAAGCCTTGGTGCATATCACTGTTTGTAATTAACACTAAATAACATAAAAAAAAACCGTTTCTATTGTTTTAAGTTTAAAAAATAATAGGATTTAACTGATTTGGTGAAAATTTGGGCGTAACCTTCGGTTAATGATACTACAACGTTCAAAATATTTATAGGGGATCATCATATTTGCGTGTATGGCCTCCTAAGGCACCCATTACTATTTGCTCATCATCTAATTGCGTTTGATAATTGCGTGAGTTGGAAGGAAAAGATCATCGTTTAGAAACCGGCTAACTATTGATCGACTAGGTATTGTTGATCTTTGGAGTAAATCAAAAACATTTCCTGCTTGGTGGTTAAGCTTCTCCTTTTTTTTTCTATGGTCCAGAACCATCAAATCTGTACCTTGTCACCCCCAATCCTTCGTAAAAAAAATCTGCAAAAATGCGGTGTGCGCACTCCAATGGAAATCCAACATGGACAATAGGGAGCAACCTGGTTACCGAGAGGCACAGTAAGGAGTTACCGTGGGAATGGGTTTGAGGAAGTATGGAAATGTACGAAATTCCCAAGTTTCCAATTGGTGAATTCTCCCAGTTTCTAATTCCTAGTTTCTAACAATCATTTGTTTAACATTTCACAGTCAAATGGTACCTGGAAAGTTTAAAGTTTAGACAAAGTTTAAGGCTTCTTTTTCCTAATTAGGAAGAAAATTTAACTTTGAAGAATTTTCCATTACGTTAAAAACAAACCAAGGTATGCATTTCAGGCAATTTTGTGCTTCTACGGCAAGATTTCAAGTTTGCAAGGCAAGGACAATATTTCTAAGGCAAACAATCACAGGATCTGAGGAGAATGGCCTTACCATTGTCCATGTGAATACAAGGAGAGATGGTTCCAGCCGTTAGGGGGATGATGGTGGGGGCCACGTAAATAGAAGTTTAAACTGCAAACATTTAGAAGTTTAAACTGAGACCTGAAACTGAAGCCAAGTAGAACCTTTAACCTGGAACCCTAATCTTAAACCAGAAACCCTAATGGATTTCAAAGCTTAGATTCGAAAGATATGAATTATTAAGCTCAACAGCAAGGCTAGAGCAAAAGGAGGGAGAAAGTTTAAGTGGGTGGAATTTGACAGGTGCTGAAGTGCTACGAACTAGAGTAGAAGATCATTTTAGACGGATGACGGCGATTGGGATGACGATGATTCGGGTGACTGTGAGGATGACGATGAGTTAGAGGGGGCAGAGGGACTTGGACGAAGGGATGATTGCTGCGTAAATTTGATTCGTAATGTTGTGGAGAAAGAAGAAAAAGCTTGTATGGCGTATTGTACTAATCCAACGGCGTACTAATGCAACGGCTGGGAGGGCCGTGAACTCGTAACAGCAGGTTTGAACTCTAATGGGACTACTATGAACGGCTTGGAGGTGTTATGAGCTACTAAAAATGAGCTACTAAAAATGAGCTACCATGATTACTTTGACTACACGTTGAATGCCGTGAACTCTAAGACTATTTTGCATGCTAACTCCTTTAAACTCAAATTGAGCATTTGAACGCTATGAACACTTCGAAGTTTTGAACAATATGAATACTCAAATTGAGCAATTTTGAACTCGTATTCGAGAGATATGAACTCATATCTGAAGGCTGTAGCTGAAATTTGACAATTATGAACTCAAGTACCAGCTATGAGGTCAAGTCTTATCCCTATGAGGTCAAATTTTATTCCTGAGATTTGAAAATGTAGGTGGCAGGTCAAGTTTAAAGGGCAAGACCAGCTGAACAGCTCTGAACAGCTTTGACCGGCTTTCATCATGTCTGACCGGCTGACCAGCTGACCATCTCTGACCAGCTGTGACAAGTCGACCATTCTCAACTAATCCAAACTACCCACTCTCCATAACTCTATCCCCCTGATTTCAAACTTCCCAAACACCTTATCACCAAACTTATGACTATTTCCCCCCAAATCTCCATCGCCATTCAAGATCTCATTACCAAACGTTTCACACCGATAGCTGATTCCTTCTTCCAACGACTTGTTGATATAAAGACCATTTTGCCCATTGGACGAGCCAATGGCTATGAAATCATGGTTGGAATATATTATGTTATCATTGATCCCCGTATACATAAAAGCTTTAAATCTATGATCTTTAGTTCCTTTAACATGCTCTTGTTTCCAGAGGAAACTCTCCCCGTTCCCATAGTACCGTTTATGATCCATTGGTTTGAGGTTTTCGTTCAAATAGGCTCCAAACTTATTATTCTTATTGTCTTTAACTATCAAAACATAACCCACAGGTCTACGAATGGTAGGAGATTCTTTCATTATCCTACTGATGATTTGGTCTCCGTAACCTTTTTCTATCTTGGGTTTGTGGACTTGATTGGAAAGTTTTGAATTGTTATATAATGTGTTTAGGGAGATCCCGTGTTGATCTAGGGAGTATATTAGGTACCAGTCATTAAATAGTTGTAAACGAGGAGGAAGTAAGTTTCTTATATTGGAAGAAATATCATGGGTGAGGAGTTTCTGGGTGGTGGTGGGTTTATAGCCATGGAATTGAAGTGGTGGAAGTGGAGGTAGTTCTTCAGGAGCTGGGGATGGGGAAGGAGAAGGTTTTGATTTGAACATCCTTAGCATTGCGCAGTGAGAATTTAGATTTGAGTGAGGTGGGGGGAGATGGGTTGAGGAAGGGTGAGGATGTCCAGGGTTAGGGAGGAAGGTCTGGGTTAGGGAGAATGGTCAGGGAAATTGGGGAGAGCCTGACCTACTAAGGGAATCAAGAAATCAGACAGAACAGAAATCAAACAGAACGTCATATAAACCTACACTAAAGCTTTTAATCTACAAAGACTGACAGCCGTCAGCCAACTATCAGCCAACTAGCTGTCCCATAAACAGGCTGCCTTCATCCGGCTGCCCTAGACAGGCTGCCTGGCCACATGCCCTAAACAGGCTGAGAACGTACAACCTTATCGAACTTAACCAACGATACCAAAACCTCAACCCCAATCTTCACCGAATCTACAAACACCACACCAGGGAACTTTTCCAGTAATTTCTCATCCAATCCTGCCATCCCTGCACACCCCAACAACACACAGTTGATATCATCTCCAATGATTTCTCTCGTTTTATCAACAATCTCTCCGAAAACCTCCGGACTATTAAGGTTACTCACATTGATATCAAAGCTCTTAGTAGGACGGATATTCGCTGGAAGCTCTTTGGTACGGTAGAATTCCTTGATGGCGGTATCCAACAACGGCTCCCAGGACTTGAAACTGGTGATGATGATGGAATTGTGGTTATTGACCAAATGGTAAGTTAAGCAAGCTTGCATTATCCCCATGATGGGTTTGGAGGTGTACTGCTTCAACGATTGGATCAACGGATGGTTGGAGAAACATCCAACGAGAAACCCATCGAAGCGGTCAAGATAATGGCCCGATAACAAATCAGGCAACACCACCGATTCAGAAATTTTGGCGGTATCGTCGTTATCTATTTCAAGGGGGGCTGAACTAGGAGCGGTATAAAACTCAAAATCAACTGTATCGCTGGAAATGACGTGTTTTATATCGTTGGTAACTTTGGTTGATGAATTAGGATTGATGATAAGGATTCTCATGTTGAGTGATGAGTTGAGGGTTAGAGGTGAGGGTTAAAGACGTGATGAAGCAACGAGAGTCTAACGAGAGTCAATGAGGGATGACGAGAGTCAAAAAAGTTGCGGTTTCTGATTGATTTACTGAGAAGTGGTGGTGAGAAATGGCGGTAAGTTTGGTTGAATTACTACCATTTTCTCGCACCATCTTGGTACCATCTTATCTTATCGCACTTACATACACGTCACATTACAACCTCACCCGTACACCTATTACACGTCACATTATCCACGTTATATAACACCTATAACGCTTCATATTACACAGACAGTTGCCCATGTTCACAGCTGAAATAGATTCTGACACAAATAAACTACTATGGGCCAAATCAATCCTAGCCATCTCGCTTTTCAGTGAATTTGTCAAGATCTCCATATCCAACCAAAAGCTCCAGATTTCAGGTATAAATCAAACCCAAAGTAATCATGGAGAAATCACTTTCCAACCTTCGTTCTTCACCAATTACTCTTGTGACAGTCCACAAACGTTAATGATCAATTCCCAGCATCTATCTATCATTTTCAAAAATTTCGATATCACCAGTTCCATCAGTTTCAGCCTTCGTGACCATCAGTACAAGTTCTTGATCAACGTTACCAAGAAACTCATCATTAAGAAGTACCAGATCAATTTCCAACCGGTAGAGTCCGATATTAACTTAATAGACAATTATAGTGGGAAGTTTGGTGACGATGATTCAATACATCGTCTTGTTCTTGACCAATCGGTAGTGAAAAATTTCATTGATATGATCCCCAGTCAAACCGAAGAGTTCAGACTTGAAATAAATGACGATAAGATCACATTCCAAGGGTTTACCAAGCAGATATTGAAGGATAACTCTTATTTGAAGCAACCAATGTTGTTGACCATCTCATTGAATGTTGACGATAGGCATTTATCAGGGGTCAGGGTAGAGTATACGTTTAAATTGAAGTTCTTGAGGATATTCATCAACTTGATAGCCAAGGTAGATGTGATGGAGTTCTACTTCAAGGATGAAGGTGACCATATAAGTTTTGTACATAGAGGAGATGTGGAGGTCAGATTTGATAGTTTGGTGAATGAAGGAAAGTTACCTGTTGATTATAAGGTTGTAGAGGTGACAGACAAAGAGAGAGAAGTCCTAACCAGGGAGAATCTGAGAAGAGAGAGTGTTAGAAAGGAGAGTCTGAGAAGGGAGAATGTGAGAAGTTATGGACAAACACAAACCACCCAAACATCTCTATGGGAAACACCCCCAACTCATCCTACCAATCTCTTAGGAATAGAAATCGACCAGTTCCAAGAAGAAGAAGAAGAATACGGACCCACACAAACCAATCCCGTAAGATCCATCTTCGATGGGCTTTAAATAAAAAATCTCATATATATCACTTCTTCTCTAAATAATGATAATTTATATACCTAGCACCTTGACCTAATTGAGCACATTCATTGACAAAATGACAAGCAAATAATAAGTAATTCTTAGGAGTAACAGCTAATGAATATCTCATAAATATAGCAGAAAAGGCAATTAATGAACCAGTCATTGGACCAGAAATATACTCAGCATCTTTTTGATAATCCATGATGGCGGCTATTGGTAAACCGAAGTTGGATACTGGACCCCAGAAATGGGTAGTAAACAAATATTTGAACGTTTGTTTGTTGAAAAACGATTCACTGAATTTTCTAAAGGACATAGTTGATTCGGACAATTGTTGACCACTCGGACTCCATCGCGAAAATCTGGGGGAGGACGGGACGCCGGAGGGTTATTGGGACGAATTGATTGAGGGACCCACAGAGTGTCATAGAGTACCACAGACAACAGGGTAAGGATACACGATACATTACAGGGAAAAACTAAGAGACTCGATTATATACATTAGTCATATTTTGGCTTTTTAGTAGTCTCCCATTCTTCTTTCACTCTTCTACTCTTATTCTTGAGTTCTTCTTCAGCTTGCTTTTGAATTTCCTCGTTGGGCGATGATAGGTAATAAGGTAAGTTATCGGGGTTTGTTATCCAAAACGGATCACTAAGATTGATATTTATAAGATCATTGGAATTGAAAACGGAATTAGTGAAGGAATTATCAATATCGAACATTTCTTGACTTTGGCCCTGACCTTCTTGGGATGCAGGTCCCTGTCCCTGAGAAGGATTAAGATTAGTTGGAACTTGAGGTTGTGGTTGTTGCATGGGTGATATGTATCCTTGGGGGAGGATGGTGTCGTTGTAGATAAATTCATTATATGCAAAATTTGGTGATTGAGGAATAAACTGGTACTGATAAATGTCGTTATTCTGTTTCAAAATCAAATCTATAATTTCCAAATTCTTATTTATCAAATAAAGAATGTTAATTGACCATATCTTGTCGTTAAAATTACTATCGACATTTATAAGATTATGTAATTCCGTCTTTAACGAATTAAGGAATTGAAGATTATCAAATTTGTCATTATATTTCAAACCAATGAAATCTTTGAACTTGTAATTGAGTAAAGTGAAGATGATGACAATACCTTGGTAAATGAAAGAATTCAAAAATGGGAAATTTATACGGAAATATTTCCCAATCTTCAAATAATTGATATCTTTCTTTATAAGTTTGATCTCGAACGTCTTAAGGAATTTGTAGATGAGTTTAAGGAAATTAATGATGGAATTACTTAAGTTCTTGAGGATAAGTATAGCATCATTATTGTTCTTATTGAATTTGAGAATGAAAGGTTCGAATAATTTGGCTTTATTGATATAAAACACCGTCAAATCATTGATAATATTTATCTTAGCTATCTTTAAAGGTAATTGATTAAGTTCATCATAACTAAGTTCTTTAGAATTATCATCATCGGAATCCTTATCGGAACTCCGATCAGGTATGGATTTTTCATTCATCTCTAATTCTTGAAAATAGTTCTCCAACATCTCTATTTCCACTTCAAACTTGGAATTAAGCTTAAGTAAGTCACTCATAGTGAAATCAATCATAAAATTTTCAATCAACATCATATTTGATAACCTTATACATTCACTTAACCCGATTTTCAATAGGATAGAAGTGTTTCTGCCATTCAAATTGATGTTATTATAATTCTTATTGTACTTCAATACCAAAGAATTAACTTGAATGGAAATAGGATTGGGTCTTCCTAATATGGAACATACTTTATCCGATAAAATTCGTAAACCGAACCAAACTCGTAATTTCAAAATATCTTCCTTTTCGTCTTCCTTTTCTTCCTTATTAGGCAAGTCTTCCTTTTCATCACTATTTAAAATGGAATTATTGATTAATGAAAGTTCATTATCCTTCAATTTCCCCGTGACATGTAATCCAATGGAATATGCAATGGAACATGTATGGAACATTCTTGACCAACATTCTTCATATTTTTGTTCGATAAAATAATATTCCGTACACAAAATATAACTTTGGATGGTTAGAATCGATTCGTTGATTAAATTATGTCTTAGTTTTTCAAAGCCAACAAATAAATTTTGTTTAAGACGAGCCAATTCATTACCATAATTTTTCTGCTCTATACCGAAAATTTTAATAAACTCTACCGGTGTAAGACGTATCACTGATATGAGTAAGATCATTGTTAGTAGTAATAAATCATCATCATTCTCCCATTTGTTATTTTCAATCTCTTCATATCCATTAAGGAACTTCACTATACTGATTTTGGACACAAATGTCTTATAAAAATTAGAAGAATAGTTGGTGAAGAAGAAAATTACCAATTCATAAATCAACTGGGAATTCTCTTTATTACTAATCCCCGGTTTAAGTTTAGGTAACTCTTTCTTTATCAAGGATTTCTCTAATCGTTCATTGTCTTTATCGAGATAATTCTTAGGGTATTGGGAATAAATATTGGAATTATTCTTCAATGTTTCAATCATAAAACTTGAAGATTGAGGACCATAAAACTTCTTCCCCAATTCACTGGTTTCTCCTGATACTTTATAAGTTTCTGCATCATCTTGAGAATTCCCTCCTTCTTCATCTCCTTTATAATGATAACTTTGGTCAACATTCATCTTACTAAGGGAACTATTCAAATGTTTATTCTTTTCAGTCAATCGATAATTAGCTTGTAGTAATTCATTATTATCAGATTTGAGTTTATTAATCAACTGACTCAAATCTTCATCATTACCACTACTTTCACTACTAACACTACTACCATTTTCTTCTTGATTGATCTCAATGTTACGGAACGTCGATGGGAATTGACAAATGATATTCCTCTTCTTACATTGATTACATGGTTTAAATTTATTACACTTTATCTTCTTCCTCCTACAAGAAATACAGGAAATTGGGAATTGTTCAGTCATAACAATTTTTTTTTTCTATAATACACAACTAAAAGACAAACAATTCATTTAACAAATTAAGGCAAAATCTTTAAGATAGCCTTAAGGATTTTTCACTATTTAAATTTATGGACCAAATCTATTGTGGAACTCCGTATAGGTTTGGGAAAATAGTGAGAAGAATCAACTTTACAAGGAAATCCGTAAATTTGTGTATAACCTGCTAATTACCCGATTTAAATAGATACTTGTTTATTGTTGATGTCAATTAAGGGGGTTTAATTGACTTTTGGGATGAAACTTTAAAAAAAATTGATATAATCGATAATTTGATTTTTTATGGAAAATTTGTTTCGGTGATTATTTAATGGTGATTTATAAGTTTTAACTATTGCAGACACTTTGTTGAGTTTTCTCGCCTTCAAAGGATCATGAAATTGGCAATTAAATTCATTAGGATGACAAAGTGATGAGTTAAGAATATTTTTTTGCAACCTCAGCAAGCTTAAGTAAGCAGACAGACAAAGCAATCTACTATTTTTAGGCGAACGCGGAGGGAGCATTACCTATAAAGATAGACGCAGATGGTATGGTTTAGATGGTGATATTGGGGGTTAGAGGGTCCTGGGGGGTAGAGGTTTAAACATGTAAAGGAACATAATGATATTGGTCTAAGGCGGTGAAGAAGTGCGGCCAGTACTACATCATTGTATGACATCGCGGAATCTACATTTTCGGAATCCTCTTGTCGGGGACAACATTGTGTCCATGGAGTGTCCAGAGTGTGTCGATGAGGATCCAACGGTACAAGGCTATGAGATTCAACATATTATTGACAGGTATTTTCTTTTTTTTTTTCTTTTTTTTTCTGTTTCGCCATATGAATACATTTTTCCGGTGTTACATTTCCCATAGTCGCCTTAGTCTTGTTCCCTGAACGATCGATCGGTACCATTAACATTTATCAGTGGAAATATGTGTGCCTTAAAAGAATGTTCCAATTATGACTTCATGACGTAATTGTCTTACATGTGATGCAGTGATTCGATGTGAGACTGATGTTTGGTGAACGACTTGCTTGCACGTGATGAATCACATGACGAGTCATCATCACCGCATGACGTATTTCCCAATTTCACCCTATTTTCCACGTTCATGCGAATTCCTTGTTTAACCGTGATTTACCGTTTACGCCCAGATCACCGATAAGATAAGCATTATCTATAAATGCCACCATTTCCCCCTGATTTTTTTTTTAAAAAACAAACCTCCTTTTTCATGGAAAGAACTGTTGAACCTTATTATTTCGATAACATCAAAACATCTATTAAATCGTTTAAAACTCCATACATTGAAAAACTGAATTGTTTCATATCTTCAATCAAACATGACGAAAAGATTATAAACAAACACGATCTGGATTCAGATTCAGATTATGAAAATGCTATTGATTCAGAAGATGATCTTGAAGTTCAAGCATTATATGATGATGAAGAACATCCAATCAAATTGATCAGAACTAATTCTTTAGAGCCTTATTTTAGACCAAAAATAGCTATAAACTATACTAACTATTATGATTCAATCGATGATTCCGATGATGAAATCGATTTAACCATTAAACCCCATCCTGAATTTCCTATGAAAAATGTCGTTAGAGATGATTTTGATAACGATACTTCATTTGATTTCTTTTTATGAATTAATGAATGTATATTTTCTAATTGAAATACTCTAAAACATCCCAAAGAATGAAAATGATTAAACTAAGAATCAAATTATCATTCATACTTAAACATCCTTCGAATAATCCTCCAATCAAACAAACAATGAATAAGATTTCATGATTGGTTTTGTATCCAAAATAATGATCAATAGCCATATAACTGATGAAACTGGTGATAATGAATGCTATTGATCCTTCAACTGTTTTGTTGGTACCTTTGAATTTGGTTTTACCAAAAGCTTTTCCAACTATTGATGCTACAGAATCTCCTAATCCTAAAAAGATCAATCCAATGAACTTCTTATTACTATCATCAATAAAATCATTTAATACTACCGGACTTATAATCCCGAACAATAAATAAATATATGAAACATTTAAAGGACCTTTCAAATCCTTAAAATCCTGAAATCTGTATAATTTATCATAGATGAATTGACCTAAGAACAGGATCTTATTAACTCTAATGGCTTCAATAATGATGAAAACTATCATGAGTCCTAATAATGCCAATTTAGTGAATTTTTGAGCTACCACTAAACTAGGCATTACAGTAACCAAGATCATAAAGTGCCAGATTTTTCTACGGAGATTGAATTCCATATTGACATTAAACACTATGATAACGTTAAATATTAAAATACCTGTCCAAATACAGAACAATTCCATATTTTGTTGAATCTCTCCCACCAAGTATTGAACACTATTGACACCTAAAATTGGTTCTAATTGACGATTGACCAAATAATAGAAAGCTAAAGTAAACACTCCGGCACCAGCATATTGGTTGAATAAGAAAGGTGGCCAACTAACCATAAATGCTGCTACTAAACCAATGAGTAATTTTTGCATTATTACCATTTCTGGTTGTTGGGAATCTAAATGGTAGAACATATTAACAAGAATAACCAAGATCAAATGGATCTCAGCCAATGATAAACTGGCATTCAATCCTGATTTCACCACATCATCTTCAATATCCACCAAATCCAAATCAACATCTTGATCCATAACTTCCTTGGAGATCACGTGAACATCTTCACCTTTATTAATATAATCGATTAAATAAAATACCACGGTATAAACAAGAAGCATCGATACAAATAAGGAAAATCTTTCTAAACTCCCGTATAATGCAAAGAATACCACGGCACTAAAACCTCTGGCTACAACGGGGATATTTATCATAGTGAAATAATTTAATGCCAAATTTTCAATCACATAGAAATCATATTTAACTGCTAAGATGTTGGATAACATCACTGGATACAAAAGATTGAATTCTGGTAATTGTGGTTGTTCAATAATTCCTTGTTGGAACTTTTGGTAACTTAATCTGTAACTGATAATCATACCTATAGCTACACCAGTATAATTCATGACAACTTTTTCCCAGAATTCCCATGGTTGGTCCATAGAATTGTAAAATACTTGAGCTAAGTATGCCAAACAAAGAATCTGGATAGTCTTAGCATAAGTTAACTCATCATTGAGGAAATCTTGGATTTTATATATATAGTTAAATGGGAAAGGTTGATGATCGGGATTATCTTGATCATAAGCTGGTTCACCTTCCACTGGAGTTGGTACTTCTTCAACATCTACTTCATAATTGACTGCTGGGTTAACTTTCCCTTCTAATTCTCTAAACCTCGAAGCTGTACTTGAGTTTGTTCTTTGAATCTTCTTTCTAGCCATTTGAGATTTTGTTGAACTGTGCGAAACTTTTTTTTTTACTACCATTTTTCTCACCAATTCTCCCAAATTCTCCCCCAATTGTCACTAAATTTTTAAAATTCCCCCCGCGCTCTGGTGGGAGATCACCCCGAAGTGAGATTTCTCTCATTTATCGTCACCTTTCGCATCAACCAATGGGTTTACTTAAAAGCTTAAAGTTCTATACTAAGTCATTGGTATTTGGATTATTGATTATATTATGTGCTTCCTATGGTGTGGTGGCTTCAATAATCTTAAGACTCGTAGGAAAACCTCAGTACAGTCAATATACTGTCGCTAGAGCATTCTACTATTCTTTCTCCTCCATCTTGGGGATTAAGATCAAAATCAATAACGAGAAGTATTTGAAGGAAAGTAAACCTGGAATGTTCATTTCCAATCATCAAAGTGCTTTGGATATCCTTGTATTAGGTAAAGTGTTTCATCCAGGGTTTACTGTCACTGCTAAGAAAGTATTGAAATATTTCCCCTTTTTAGGTTGGTTCATGATTGCTAGTGGGACCTTTTTCATCGATAGAAGTCGTGGGGAGAAGGCTAGAAAGGTTTTGGATCAAGCATTAAAATCAGTAAAGAAAAGTAAGGCGGGTTTATTCATGTTCCCTGAAGGAACTAGATCTGCTACCACCAATTTAGAGATGTTATCATTCAAAAAAGGTGCTTTCCATTTAGCTCAACAAGCTAAGATTCCTATCATTCCTATCGTTGTTTCTAATTATTCAAATATCTTCCATTCGGCTTCTAGAACCTTCAATACTGGTGAAATCATTATCGATGTTTTACCACCAGTTTCCACCACTGATATCGAAACCAAGGAGGAAGTAGACCAATTGGTCATTGATGTTAGAACGTCAATGGTTGAACAATTGAAAAAGTTGGGATATAGTAAGATTAACGGAGAAAAAAAAAAGCCTGAATCGGTATCACCAAAAATCAAATCACCTGAACCAATCGCTGATTCTGATAAGGATGATGATGTAGAGGTAGAGATTGTTGATGAACAGTCACCGCTAGTTAAGTAGATTACTATTTAGTACATTAATGTATGATGGCTCTAGATTTTTTTTTAGACTTTTTTACTGGCACTACGACTCCAGGAGATGGAGATGATGAGTGGGAATTCACAGCTTCAGTTTCTTTACTGTCTTGACTTTCTTGACCCTCTTTGTCTTCAGTTTCTTTACTGTTCTCTTTCTCTTTGGATTCTTTACCCTCCTTAGCTTCTTTGTCTTTGTCTTGTTTGGTATCCTTAGCTTCTTTACCCTTACTCTTGCTCTTCTTCTTGGCTTTCTTCACTTTCTTCTCTTTAACCTCCACCTTCTCCTTCTCCAAAGCATTTCTCAAAGCACTCAAATCAATATCATCCTCAGTTGATGTCTCCACACTCAAATCAAAGTTATCCAAGTTTGATGAATCGATCATCAACAAATTCTTCTTCTTCTTCACTGGTGCGGCTGTAACAACTTCTTCATCTTCCACATCCAAGATCAAAACTTTCTCTTTCTTGATCTTCTTGGGTTTGACTTTCTTCTCAGGGATTTCGGTACTTTCAACCTTTTCTTTTTTCTTCTTGGTCTTTGGTTTACTGGTGGTGTCGTTGATATAGTAAGGATCATATTTGATACGTTCAAGACGTTCTTCTTTCTTGACTTCCTCTTTGACTTCAACGGGTTCTTCTTCTTCAGTGTCCGAATCTTCAACGTCACTAAAGAGCTCAAATTTAGGGGAGTTGATTTCGGAGTCGAGGTCAAACTCCGGTGGTGGGATGGATTTTTGACTGGATTTAGAGATCGGTGGGAGATCATAGGATTTGAAGAATGTAGGAAGAACATGTGTAAGAAGCATAGGAACAGTATCCAAGGTATCTGGAATCTCCACAGCAAATGATTGTGGATTTTCGTCCACTTGTTCTTCTGACTCTGTTTCTTTTGGCTCTTCATCCTCAGATGATAATTCAATATAATCTTCTTGTTCTTCTTCACTACTCTCTTCACCTTCATCATCTTCACCCTCATCCTCATCCTCGTCTTCATCACCAATATTCTTATAATACTCTACCTCTTCTATTTCCATCTTCTTCACCTCTTCTGCCACATCCAAGCTCTCAAAACACAATTTCAAGAACTCTAACCATGATAAACTCCGTTCTTGGATCTCATAGTGTAAGTGATTCTCGAAACATCCCAAAAAGTAAACCAATTTATCCAAATCAAAAGCTAATTCTACCACCTTCTTATGGCGGAGTTGTCCTTGTTCACCATAAGCATTAGTGTAATCACTGACAATAGAAGAGAACAATTTCACTAAGAAAGGTATCAACACGGTCAAAATTTCGGTGTTTTCATGGTTGACCAACTTCCTAGCAACTTCAAAATTCAACTTATCATTAAGTTCCAACACTCTATCGACTCTAACATTGACCAAACAATTGAAAAGTTGGATTTTCTTCCCTAAAGTCGATTCCTCGTCTTCTAATTGGTCGATATATTCACCCATAATCCAATACAAATCCTTAAGTAAGGAAGGACAATCATCTAAGATCCTAGGGTTCATGATAAATTCCAGGATGATGGCTAAGATATCACTTCTGATGGATGGAATTCTAATAGATAAGTTCTTGAACTCTTTACCCAATTCCACTGCTATTTTCTCTCTAATTTCTGGTGCTAGAATATCATTGGCGTTAGGTAAAAGTGTCAAGGTGACAATATCTTTCAATACTGATAAGTACCATGAAAAACTAGGAATGTGTCCATAATTATTCATAGCTCCACTACTTAAAATCTTCACCACAATATCATACTTAAGGGTATCGGGAACCGAACCAGGGATTAAATTCTTAAGTATCACACGAGTATAATCCACCATGGTATCGTCATTGATAAGATATTGATAAACTTCAAGAGCTTTTCTCTTAATGATCAAATCATCATTGGTAATACAAAGGATGATAGTATTGGCCACCCATGACCCTTTGAATTTGATTAATACTGGGAAACTCTCTACAATATTAATCAAAGCCAAAAGTCCCATATATCTTAAATTTGGATCACCAGCTTCAAAAAATTTCTCTATTTGTTCAACACATAACTCCGCAACCTCCCTATCTCTGGAAGAATCTGGTGATAACATGGAACTACTAAGAATACAATTAATACATTCATAGATCAATGAAGATGCTTGGGTTTTAACCATTAAATCAATAATTGATGGTAAAATCTTCTTTTTCATTCGACTTTCTACCTTAGACAAGCACAGGAATAACTTTAAGATCCTTATAATCAACCAATTATTCTTCAGTTCCTCTAAAATCCGGAAAAATTTGGGTAAATAGTTAACAAAGATCTTAGGATTCTTCTTACTGATCTCGGAAATCACATTTATGGTAGCATTAATCACCAGATTATCATCATCGTCTAACTTCTCAATCACCTTGGTGAAGTTCATCCTTAAACTCTCAGGATATTGAAGGAATATCTTATACATGGCCAAGATAGCTTTCTTTCTGATGTAAGGCTTAGTATGGTTCAATTTCATAAGAACATCATCATTAATATCCTTGGAAAGATTCGGCGTAACAATGGTGGCAATGCCACTCAATGCTAGACCGATATGAACATGGTCATGACTGTTTAAATCCTTCTTGAATTGATTAGTAGCAAGAATAAGTAAGTCTTTCTCGTTCTTGAATGATTGGATGGCAGCTAAATAACCAACCCGTTTGATTTGGAATTTATTGGACGACATGACTTCTAGGATATGGAAATTACACCAAGACATGTCAAAACCGTACATTTCAAGGTATGCTAACTTCAAAACTGCCATAGCTTTGGTTTCCATATCATTGGAAGAAAGTTCATTTTTACATTCTACAATGGCATTATCAAGGAATTGAGCAAGTGATTCAGAAGATTCCTTGGAGTGTTGACGGATGCCTTTGATGAGATCAGTTAATGATTTTTCAAACAGTAGACCGAAGGGTTTTAGCCTGGCAAGTACGTTGGAAGATTGGAACTGAATGGACATAATTCGCGATGGTGAGAGAGAGGACAGAAGTAGGGACCAGTGACAACGAACTTGTCGCTGCTGATGCGGCTGCTACCGATTCAGATATGGTGGCCTTTTCCACAGAGGTTGAAGGTTCTAATGATATGGACCGTTCTACAGCCCGTTCTACAGAGCCTTCTACAGAGCCTTTTTCAGACCCTTCTTTAGACACCTCAAACACTACAAACCCAAACAACACAACCACAACCACCTCCGATAGCCAAGACCACCCCGACTCCGACTCCGATTCAAGTTACCTTTTAAGTGATACCGAAGAAAGACTCACATACAACGCCGTTCCCGATACTCAATACCTCACTTCCACCCTTTCCCATGGCCTTGATTCCATGGAACTCGACAAATCCCTTGTTCTCCAGACCAAACTATCCGGATACCTCAACAATGAAAACCAGAAGATCAATGAAAAGCGTCAATTGGTGATACAAAAACTCCAATCCCTCAAATCCCTACATCTGGCCAACTTCAAGCCCAATGGTGGTGTTTCCAAGGTCGAACAGTTGACTAACGACATCAAGGACATAGAACTGCGGATCCGTAACATTAAACATGGTAACACGACGTTGTTGGGGTTATTTCGAAGCCAATCTGGATTGGTGAATAAATATCCCGTAGAATACAATCAGGCGAGAGATAAAGTTTTAGAGAGACCATGGGATCAGTGAGGTTAGTGGACTTGGGTTTTATGGATCCGGAGATCACTACTGTGTGGTTTCTGGGTACTTCCAGGTCCATTTACCAGTAAAATTATGGCCCTAAATCCATTGCCGTCGTGACGACATTGTCGGCGACATTTGAATTTATGGATCAACAGTCCACTGGGTGCTGGAAGTTGGCCCACCGCTGGAAGTAGGCCCGCCCCTGGAAGTTGACCGACCCATGGAATTTGGACCCCCGCTAGAGTTTGGCTCACCACTGTAAACCAAAATTCGTCCCCTAAGATATATTTCTACTTAGCAGCATATATAATACCTACCCCGTTCATCCATCCTCCAACATATCCATACATCCCCACGATTCTATACCCAGCTCCTGGAACTTCCAAAGTAGACAAGTGTCCACCACTGCTATTACCCAACATCGCCGATTTACTTCCATCAGCGAACTCCACCTGAATAGCATCAATCCATGCTCCATTTCGGAAATGAAATTTAACTATAGGGTTGCTAGCATCAACATCAATGTCTGTGTAATGAGGCTTCTCGTTACCTAAACCGACCATCTTGTCGCTACTACTGATCTTACTAACAAGCTTATTCATATAATTTCTAGCGGGAACTGGGGGTGCAGATGAATAGAACCTCACTCCATCAAGAGCTCCTCCATGGTAAACCCTAACTTTAGATACTTTTGAAAGATCAAATCCAATCATCTTCTCATCACCGTTATCTCTTCCTAAGATCTCACTCTTATACCCATCAATGTCTCCAAGACCAAGACCAAAATCTGACCTAATGATATCTCTAGTGACATGTTTTTTGAAGTTAGAAATGTATAAGTCTCCTGCCAATGATAACACTCTGACGGCGTAATTCTCATCCTTATCCTTGCCTAAACATTGGTATAAATGGTGGTAATCAAGAACAACTTCGTGTTGAAGTCCCGGTCCACCATAATTTTGCGGTAAGTAAGGAATATGGTATCGAGTCAAATCTTTCGTTACCACCTCGATCAAAAAGATCCCTGGCCCCGATTTTATCACACAACTACCATCATTGATCACATAAGAAGCAGGATTTTGTCCATGGTAAGAATTATCTCGTTTAAAGGTAGTACTATAAACATGAGAAGTATCGTTATCAGTAGGGATGGCAAAGGATCCATGGTGTAAGTACCGGAACTTATCCAAAATATTCCAATGACAAACCTGATTCCCTGGCCATCCATTAGGTCCAATAATACCACCTCGGGAGGAAGTTCTAAGACATTCTGATTCTCTTGTCATGAAAGATCTATTCCACCAAATATAATCTCTCAACATCACCCCATTAACTTGATGGGGTGAACCTAACAGATGACCTATCTCATGCATGAACGCTCCCATAGTGATGTTTAAACACTCCCAACTGGTTCCACATTGGTTGGCATCGTTAGCTACTTCTCGTTTAGATAAATGAGTGGCATCTAAAAATGTCGAGGTTGTTTGGGGGAAATTAGATGGCCACAGATGTAATCCATGGGATCCAAAGATAGCTAATTTGATATCACCATTCCCACCACCAAGGGCAGCATGGGTTAAAATGAGATCTTGTCCAACATCATAATGAGCATCAAGATAAATCACTGCACATTGAATACATGTCCCTGATTGATTTCTAGCACCATAAAGAGGGGAGTTTTTGATTAAGTCCAAGGCATGACTGAAAAGTCCTCCAGTATTGGTACCTTTGGCATTCTGTTGAGCCAAATTTGGGTCTCTTAACTCTGCTACCGTCTTAGGTGACCTAAGAACATGAACTTTCACTTCCTGATGAGGTGTGGGGGACTTCACGTTATAACCAAAGATTCCTTGTTGGTCAGTAGTCTCTTCAACGAATTGGAACGTTCTATTACTGAGTCCACTCAATCTCATTTCATCTTGAGTGTATGCTTGCATTAGTCTCCCTGCTACTTTGAGTTTCTTCACTGCCATGTCCAAGTTGGCCACTTCACCTCTGGCGGTCCTGTATTTCGGCATATCGTAAGATCCATTGGAATCTCGGCCCAAAATCACACATAAATGAATAGGTTTATTATTCAAAGGATAGTACAATAACGACAATTCCCCCGAGTCGACTTCCTTACCTTTCTGGGGGAATCCATAACCATCAATGATTCCTTCAAATGCCTTGACTTTGAAATAATTCTTATCAGGTGAAACATGAACTATAGCCTTGAATTGGTGGTTATTGATTTCGAAACTTTGAGGAGGGAAAACTTGATTCTCGTTGTTAATGAACTCCACAATTCCTCTGCTGATAGTACTGGAACCACTGACAATGACTGTTGGAGACGAAACGATCTCGTTATTCTGGTAGTTGAATTGGACCATGATAACAGCTAATCGCGAATTATGGAGAAGAGGTCTGCTGCCAGTGCAGCTCGAGATCATTGGGCCAAGAGGGCCAAAATTGGTGGAAGTGAGGCTAAAACCGGCATACTAGATACCGAGAAAGAACAGATCGAACTGGTAGAGAAGAAAACTGGGGGTTCTAAAACGAGTCCGTTCCGTTTACTTTATTGTCCTAGTAATACTTCTAAAGATGGGAACAACGACACTGTTAGACTTGGCGACTTGTTGGGTGACCCTGAAATGATTGAAACGTATCAGTTCAATTTCTCCGTGGATATCCAGTTGGTTTTAGATTATTTACATCCCAATTTCATCACTAATTTACGTCCACTCACCTTCATCACGGGTTCAAATATCCTTGATCCTGCCACCAAGAAGATGTATCCCTTCCTAAGTGAAGTGGTAGCTAGATTACCCGATAGGTATGGTTCTCATCATACAAAAATGATGATCAACTTCTTCCATGACTCTATGGAGGTGATCGTCATGACTGCCAATTTCACTAAAATGGATTTTGGTGGGTATACACAGATGTGCTGGCGGTCCCAACGACTCCCTAAGGGTTCTAGTACCCATAAGAAGGGTCTACAGTTCCAGAAAGATCTCGGGGATTACCTTTTGAAATATAAAGACACCAAATTGACTAGTTTGAGTGGGCGACTTAAAACCTACAATTTTGACACCATTGATGTCGATTTGGTCACTTCAGCACCAGGCCAGTATTCCTTAGATGATCTTAAAGATGATAGTGAGATTTATGGGTATGGAAAGTTATATCAAGTATTAAAACGAACCAAAAACCTTTCAACCACCAAACATCATAATATCCTAGCTCAAGTATCTTCCATTGCATCCCCCCTTTCATCCACAAAAACTCAAGTATCTTCAATATTCACCCACCTTCTATGTCCTGTGATTGCTGGAGACTTGAAAGTACTACCACCGGGAGAACAACTGACCAAATCTCATCAACAGCTTTTCAACTATAAACCTCATATCATTTATCCTTCCATCCAAGATATGATCAACAACGATTTGGGGTTCAGGTCAAGCGAAATGTTACATTACAACTATACCACCACTGCTGATGGCCAGAATCAATATAAACTCTTGAAACCATACTTCCATAGATGGAATAATGGCCAAGATATTTCTGGTAGAGAAACCACCTTACCTCACGTTAAGATGTTTATGTGTGATAACGGAGACGACTGGAAGTCATTGAAATGGGTACTTCTAACCAGTCATAATCTTTCCAAACAAGCATGGGGGTATGGTAGTGGACAATGGAGAGATATTCATTATTATAAGGTGGCCAGTTATGAAGTAGGGGTTTTAATTCTGGGAGATCTCACTCCAGTGTATAAGAGTGATGGCTCAGAGGGGAATGTAAGACTTCCGTTTGCTCTTCCACCTACAAAGTATCATAAACTAGAACAACCGTTCAGTATACTCAAGAACTATGGAGATCTTAAGGATAGATTTGGACAGACATGGCATGGATTGGATGAGATTTAGAGGGTGTTTCAGAAGGTTTTTTTTAATATATTTATTCTCTTAGCTTACCGTGCACCGGCTCCTTCCTCTCCCTGGGTCTAACACCCCCGAGTCTAACACCCTCTTTTTCCATCACCTAGCCAAACCTTGTCAAATCTGATGTACCGCACTGATACATATATCGCGATCTCATTTTGTACTTATCACAAACGCGTATGTTCATTAAAAAGATCATTATCCAAGGTTTCAAGACCTATAAGGATACCACTGTCATTGACCTCATCTCCCCCGAGTTCAATGTGGTGGTAGGAAGAAACGGATCAGGGAAATCGAATTTTTTCCAAGCCATTAGATTCGTTTTAAGTGATGCCTATACTCATATGACTAGAGAAGAGAGACAAGGTTTAATCCATGAAGGATCAGGAACTGTAATGTCTGCTTATGTGGAGATTATCTTCGATAATGTCGATAGACGATTACCTATAAGTAAGGACGAAGTGTCACTTAGAAGAACTATTGGATTGAAGAAAGATGATTATTCCCTAGATAATAAGACTGCCACAAGATCAGATATAATGAACTTATTGGAAAGTGCTGGGTTCTCCCGATCAAACCCTTATTATATAGTACCCCAAGGAAAGATCACGGCGTTAACTAATTCCAAAGATAGCGAGAGATTGACGTTATTGAAGGATGTTAGTGGAGCTAAGATCTTTGAGTTAAAATTGAAAGAATCCCTTAAAGAAATGGAGAATTCTAATCTTAAACGACAAAGAATCGATGAAGCTTTGAGTTCCATTAATGAAAGATTAAGTGACTTACAATTAGAAAGTGATGATTTGAAACAATATCAACAAGTAGATAAATCAAGGAAGATATTTGAATTCAATTTGTTCGATAGAGAAGTCACAGATATAGAGAATCGTATTCGAGACCTTGAACTTGAATATCATGAAGATTTAGATGCCAGTCAACAGTTTTTACAACAATTAGAAGATGAAGAGAAACAAAGTAATGAGAAAAATGAAGAAATTAATGGATTAAAGACCGAATTAAAGGTGAAAACCATTGAAAAATCCCAATTAGATGAATATTTGAATGAAACATTGAGTTCTGTGACTTTAAAAGAGAATGAATTCAATGAAAAGACTCAAGAATTCACTTTAACTAAATCGAAAAATCGTCAAATTCAATCTTCAATAGATAAGTATAAATCCCTTATTCATGATACTAACGAAAACATTATTCAATATAAACCTCGATTAAACGAGTTAAACGAAGAAGAAAAGAAGTTAAAGAATAAATTAGTCGAATTATCTACTCAACAAAGAGCATTATATTCCAAACAAAATAGGTTTCTGAAGTTTAATAGTAAGAAAGAACGTGATCAATGGCTTAATAAGGAAATCAAAAGATTCACTAAGGATTTAAATACTAAAGAATATGAAATGAATCGACTTTCGGAGAAAATCGCCGAAAAGAAAAATCATATTAAAGATTTAGATATTTCAAAAGATAATTTGACCACTAAATTGAATGATTATCATCACCTAAAAGCCAGCCAAGTCAGTGAACTCAAAAAGTCCATCAATGAATTGAAATCTGAACTCAATGGTTTATCGGATACTAGGAAAACCTACTGGAGAGATGAAATCAAACATAAAAGTATCAAAGATTCTTTAGTTAATGATGTGAATAATGCCACAAATATAGTTAATCAAACTATGGATCGATTACAAGTGCAAGGATTAAATGTTATTGAAAATTTGGTGAAGAAATTGAATCTTGAAGATAAAGTTTATGGACCATTAATCAATCTTTTCTCTGTTTCCGATAAATATAAAACAGCAGCTGAAGTAATTGCTGGGAATTCATTATTCCATGTGGTAGTAGATACTGATGAAACTGCTTCTATGTTGATGGAATATCTTATTAAAGAGAAAATGGGGAGATTGACTTTCATACCTTTGAATAGAATCACAGCCAATACTTATGAATACCCTGATTCTACCGAACATCAATGTATTCCTTTGATCAAGAAAATCAAATATACTAATAGTAAGATCACAAAAGTAATTCAACGAGTATTTGGACGCACTATAGTGGTGAGTGAATTGACTAAAGGTCTTGAACTTTCAAAGAAATATAATTTAAATGCCATAACGTTAGATGGTGATGGGATCGAATCCCGAGGTTCATTGACTGGGGGGTTCAGAGATTATAAATCATCTCGTTTAGATGCTATGAAATTGAAAACCCGGAAAATGGCCGATTTCTCTCGTAATGAAGAAGCTTTAATTGATCTTGAACGGAAATTAGACCAAGTAAATCAACAATTTACTGATAAAAACAACGAATTAACCAGTAAATTGAAACTTTTGGATGAATTGGAGTCCAATGAAATTCCTTTAAAGCAACAATTGGCACAAATAACCAATGAAATTTATAATAATCATCAAGATTTGAAGATTTTAGGAGGAAATTTCGATTCTTTAACCACCATCAAGCAAAATATCGTCACTAATTTGAGTCAATTACAACAAGAACTCGGTTCAGAGTTCACTAATGATCTCAGTAATGAAGAAATTCAACATTTAAATGATTTAACCTCAGAAATCAATGGCCAAGAAGATAAATTGAATAAAATTGTTAGCGAAAGTAGTGAAATTGAAAGTAAACTCACTCAATTTGAATCGGAATTATTGATTAATTATCAACCAAATTTGACTAAACTCACAGAATCTTTAAGTTCTTTGGATTTCGATGTTGAACAAGCCAATGATGAATTATCTAGATTGAAAACTCAATTAAACGAGCTAAACGACAACATTAGTACAATTGTAACTGAAATTGAAAGCCTTAATAATGAAATTTCCCTCAAACAACAATTCCTTGATAAGTCAAAGAAGTCACAAATCAAACTTATGAAGAAAATTGAAAAGTTATCGAAAAACCTTGAAGTTAACTTCAATAAAAAGACCATTTATTCCAATAGAAAATCAGAATTGACGAAGAAAATCAGTGATATTGGGATTTTACCTGAAGAAGCCTTTGATTATGAGAAATTTGACGGTCTTACCAACGATGATTTGTTATCTAAACTTAATCTTACCAATAAGGAATTGGAGAAATATGCTCATATCAATAAGAAAGCCATTGAACAGTTTGATATCTTCAATAACCAAAGAAATGATTTGTTAGGTAGAAGACAAGATTTGAATGAATCCAAGAAATCTATTGAGAAGTTGATTGATGATTTGAAAATTCAGAAACATCAAGCCATAAAGAAATCTTTCGATAATGTCGCCAGTAACTTCACAAAGATCTTTGAAACTCTCGTACCTTTAGGAACAGGGAAATTGATCATGGAAAGAGAATCTCAACATCCTGATGAAATCGATAATTATACTGGAGTATCTATTTCAGTATCGTTCAATTCCAAGCATGATGAACAACAAAGGATTGAACAATTATCAGGAGGTCAGAAATCTTTATGTGCTATCACACTTATCTTATCTATCCAAAATTGTGATCCAGCACCTTTCTATTTGTTTGATGAAATTGATGCTAATTTGGATACTCAGTATAGGAAAGCTGTGGCTACGATGATAAAGGGATTGAGTGGGAAAGCTCAATTCATCTGTACCACTTTCAGACCAGAAATGTTGATGGTGGCAGATAAATTCTATGGAGTTACGTTTAATGATAGAGTGAGTAATGTTGAAGAAATTAGTAGAGAGGATGCGAGGGTTTTTGTAGAGGGAAGTAATCCTGAGGTCCAAACCGAAGTGCATTGACCGCTAGACTGGTTCTAGAATATATATCGTTTCTTCTGTACTCTGCCTTTACCTTTTACCCTGTCTCTGTACCCCGTAACTTACCCTTCTTTTACCCTTCTTTTACCCTTCTTTTACCCTTCTTTTACCCTTCTTTTACCCTTCTTTTACCCTGTAACTTACCCTTCTTTTACCCTTCTTTTACCCTTCTTTTACCCTTCTTTTACCCTGTAACTTACCCTGTCTCTGTACCCTGTAACTTACCCTGTCTCAATGTCCTCTCTTCTGACTATAACATTCGCGTACCACCCCATCGCACCACTCCATCGTACCACTTCATCGTACAATTCCTTCGTACCGCGGCTGTGCTAACCACGCGCCAGATCTGAAAGAAATCTATCAATGAAAGTACTCCCACGTTCAACCATACTAAACCTCATAGATAACGGTAAAGTCATCATCATATACAAAGACAATGTCCTAAACCTCACTCCTTGGATTCCCTACCATCCCGGTGGCGACAAAGCCGTGCTTCATATGATCGGTAGAGATGCCACTGATGAGATGCTCGCTTATCATTGTCAAGAGACCGTTGATTCCTTCATGAAATATCGTATAGGTGTGATAGATTATCCTTGGGAAAACTTACTACCACCCATTCAAGGTGGAAACTATGGTACCCCCAATTCTAACGCCAGAGTTTCCGCCAAAGTACCCCAAAATGTAATGGTGTCAGAGTCTAACAAAAACGAACTTTTCCCCATTTCTACCACCATAGTTGATCCCCAAGTCATTGGTCAGAATTATGATAATTCCCTTACCCTCCAGGAACTCCTGGACCTCCCACCATTGGATTATACCACCCAAAATCATTTAAGAGACGAATATAATAAATTACATAGTGAAATCATCAAGTTGAATTTCTATCAATGTAACTACTGGAATTACATCAGAGAGATCATTAAGCTTAGTAGTATGTTCTTATATGCGGTATCGTTCTTCAAATTGGGTTATTTATCCCTTAGTGCCATAATACTCGGTTTAACTTGGCAACAAGGTACTTTCATAGCTCACGATGCCGGTCATTTATCCATATCCCATGATTATTACATAGATAATGTGTTTGGAATTGTTATAGCTGATTTCTTCGGAGGTTTAAGTCTTGGTTGGTGGAAGAAAAATCATAATGTTCATCATTTAATCACTAATGATCCCGTTCATGATCCAGATATTCAACATTTACCCTTCTTTGCCGTATCCACCAGGTTATTTACCAATGTTTATTCCACCTATTACGATAAAATCTTGGAATTCGATGCTTTTGCTAAATTTATGATCCCTTTCCAAAAATATTTGTATTACGTAATCTTATCTTTTGGAAGATTTAATTTATATAGATTATCATGGACATATTTGATTATGGGAGAAAGTCCTAAGAAAGGTAAAGCTGCATGGTTTAGATATTTGGAGTTCATTGGATTATCATTCTTCACTTATTGGTATTTTTACTTCTGGTGTTATAAACTGATCGATACCAATGGTGATAGGTTTAAGTTCCTTTTCCTTTCAAACTTTGCTAGTTTCATTGTTCATGTTCAAATCACGTTATCGCACTTCGCTATGTCAACGGCAGATTATGGAGTTAGTGAATCTTTCGTTATGAGACAACTCAGAACTACCATGGACGTGGATTGTCCAAAATGGTTTGATTTCTTTCATGGAGGTTTACAATTCCAATCCATTCATCATTTATTCCCTCGATTACCAAGACATAACCTTAGAGATGTCCAACCTTTAGTTATCAACTTCTGTAATAAAGTAGGATTGAAATATTCTATCTATGGCTTTGGTAAAGGGAATGAAATCGTCATATCCAAATTGGGAGATATTGGGAAACAGTGTCGGATCATGTTAGAAGCTGCGGATAAATTTGGATTAGAAGATTATACTCCATAGAGATTACTAACCGTCAGTATTAGTACCATTGCTCAACCTGAGCACCTATATTTATACATCCTTCAATACTCCTCTCTTATCTATATACCTTAAGAACTCTATGAATTGATTATTCTCATGAAGTTGATCGTTCTTCACCAACATCTTAAACAATGATTGGTCGTTCTTATATTCGAATCTATTGGGGACAAAACTATCTTCATGAACATTCTTACACTTTGCCCCATACTTACAACTCTTATTCTTTTGATAGAACTTACATATATTTTTGGCCTTTTTGGCTGGAGGTTCTTCCTTCTTACGTTCGATATTTTGCTTGGATGGCCAATTTTTCTTCCTTTCTTCGATCCATTTCTGTATATCTTCCTCCGTTTCGAGTTTAATGTTGGTACCTTGTATAGTTAAAAGCTCTTCATCTGTATCTTCATCTTTTGGAGGTTGGGATGATTCCTCAGTTTTGAGTGGTTCATTGGCTGAATATCCCTCATTTGAGGGCAATTCTAAAGGTTTGTGTGATTCAATACGAGTTCCTGTCTCCTCGGGACCATCTTCATTCACCGGACCACTGGCATTGGGGAGATGAGTAGGTAAGTCAAAGAAATCCATCTCTTCGCGTCCCTGCGAATTTCTTCTCAAAATTCAGAAGCTTTTAAACACAGTTGGTCACTTTGGATGTCACAGGGGTCGTAGATATTTATGGTGACCAGATATCTGCTGGTGTTTTTAAACTACGGAAATTGTACGGATTTTATACTCAAATCATTGTTGATAGCATGAGATCTTGAATTACTGAATTCCCCTTGAACTTCCCCATTTTCGCTACTTAAGTCTCCTAGTTCGACACTATACTAGACCAATCCCCTGAATGTCCTTATTTGTCATTCAAATACTTTCTCGCTCATTTTAACTCTTTTTATTTTACATATACTCTCACCTTCTGCTGTGACAAACCCTATATCATTGATAAATTTGACAGAATTGGCAAAAAATAAGAAAAAAAAATTTTTTTTGCTTTAAAAGCTTCGATACTCATCAGACCAACACAATCAGCCCGTCAAATGAAACAAACCGTGTGTGACAGAAATACAAATGTAATTACTAAACACACCATACTGTTGCAAAATAATGTCTCCTCGCACAATACTATCCCATCATAATAACAAAGCTGGAAGTCACAAAATCGCAAACAAAATTAGATGATTAATCGACTTCTTGAGCCCACCAGAACCGTCTAACATATAAGCAACACCTGATCCACCATAACATTCCAATAAACCATTCCACTACCCCCATTTCATTCTAAACAATAATGTCGTAAATGTCCCCTATGTCGTATGTCGTGATTTCATTTGCGACATTTTCTGTGCAGGATTTTTCTGTGACGGCTGCAAAAGGGAGAAAGTCGATGATGAGTTGGTGAAAACATGTCGAAAACACCA